TATTTAATATATGCTGAACATTTGTATTTTATGTTTTATATATAATATACATATCATAAAGCCAATAATACTAATAAAACATAATAAAATTACAAAGACAACTAAAATATATGTGGAAAACTTTTATATAATAAAGATGTACTCTCAAACATCTGAGAAAAGGATGGAATTTGTAATCATTAATGTTGGAATACTTAATGTCAACTTTATTTGAAAGTTTATTTGAAAAGAGTATTTCATGCAACCCACTTCAATAAATTAAAAATGAAGATCTAAATGTAAAAATTAAACATATAAATATTAGGAAAAATGAGCAAATTGTTTTATAACATGAGAGTGGAGAATGTTTTTCCAACTAAAATTCAAAATCCAAGTGATGAGATAAATGGTTAATTTAGATAATGTTATTGTTAAATTGCGTGGCAAAATAAGCGATGGTAAAAGACAAATGACAAACTAAAAAAAGTAGTTGCAACTAATATCACACATAGATGTGTCACGTATCTAATGTATTCAACAGTGTTAAAAATCAAGGAAGGCTATATCTTCTAGAAAGGCAATGTGAAAAAGTTCCACAGACCTACACCCTAGCAAGAAAACCATAACTGGTGAAAATACTAATCTTTTAAAACATTAAAGTCTCTGCAAATTGTGCCAACAGCATACAGAAAATAAACTTTTTTTTTCAAGAAAATGTACTCCACTTTGTTTAGAGCATAGTCTCTGTCACTTGACTAGGACCTGCCTCCTCCCTCCCCAGCCAACTCTGCATGAAAACTTTAGTCCAGATGGGATGGGTGTGGCCACAGTGCCAAGTCTGGGACAATGGTGTCATCCCAGGAGGATCAGGCTACTAGGATTTCTTACTGTCCCGTAGCTCCATCTAATAGAGGACAAATTTAGGCAGGTGAGTGAACTTAAGATGTTAAGGCCTAATCATCTGCCTCCTGGGAACCTCATAATGCAGAGGTTCCAAGCTGCGAGAGACAAGCTGAAATGACCTGAGTCTGCTGCCTTCACCCAGCTACTCCTCAGCAATCAGGAGTGTCACTCTGAAAGAAGGGGACCACCATCCCACCTCGAGCTCAAGAACAGCAGCTCAGGGATTTTGCTCTGGTCACAAGAAGAGAGCTCTGTAGCTTTTATCAAGGAAACTGACTTCATTTAAAATTGAATGTGGGGCTCTTCAAGTCTAAGGTTACTATTAAAAAGCAATGAAGATTTTTGTAAAAAGTTATTAAATGAGGTTGGTAGCTCCATGAGAACAGCAATCTAATCTGAAGGCCACCTATCTTACCAGAAAGAACTAGAGAAAGATTCTTAAATGCCTCCAAGGGATCAGAGCAAAACTCAAATACTGACCTCAAAAAATATGCCTGCTAAGGCTATCAGACCTTGGAGAAATGAATGCCCTAGGGCATTGTTGAAAATAGAGCAATTAGTCAGCTATTGGTGCAGCCTAACAGCTATCGGTGATACCATCAGAAGTAGACAGCTAAATAGATCAGAAAAAGAGACACACACACCAAAAAATGGCCAGGCATGGTGCCTCACGCCTGTAATCCCAGCGGGAGCCAAGGCAGGCGGATCACAAGGTCAGGAGATCTAAATCATCCTGGCCAATATGGTGAAATTCTGTCTCTACTAAAGATACAAAAATTAGCTGGGCTTAATGGTGAGCACCTGTAGTCCCAGCTACTTCGGAGGCTGAGGCATGAGAATCACTTGGACCCAGGAGGTGGTGGAGGTTGCAGTGAGCTGGGATTGTGTCACTGCACTCTAGCCTGGAGACAGAGTGAGACTCTGTCTAAAAAAAAGAAAAAATTATGCTAATACTACTGTAATCCCTGGAAACTATGCATGCCCAAGACTGTACCCGCTGAATGACATCAGGGGCTTTCAATGTGAGCTGAGCCATAGTATGTCCTGATGTAAGGCAGCGATCATGAGGAGGAGGTCAAGAGAATCTCCAGAAACCCTGGCCCTGGCATCACAGCACTGTTGAAGCAATACTAGCAGTTATCTATATGCAGACTTCTTGATATGCGAGGAAAAAAATCCCAACCTGGATATACTTTTATAAATCAGATGCCGTGCATCTGGCTTGCTGTGCGACCCTGAGGATCAAGAATAAAATGTGCAGGATTTTGTTTTTTCCAAACTTCATAGGACTCAGTTCCTAAGTCACCTGGTGGTGGAGCGGGATAGGTAATGGAGTTTTAAAATATAGATCCCTGGGCTCTGCTCTAAGACTTCTGATTTGGCGGTCCAAGGTAAGGTTCAGAAATCTGTGTTTTTAATATGAATCCCAGGAATTTGGGGTGTAAAAAAAGATACTTAGCTGGCAGTGTTTAATTTCAAAAATTATAAGAATTTGCATACCTTAATACAATTCTCTTCCAAACTTCTTAGTTTTCATTAGATTCCTCTGTGTTGAGAAACTTTATTCAGTTATTTGGGGATATAAACATGCCCACAATTTCTAGAGTTATATTTATGTGAAAAGATAGATTAAAATAATTTAATTAACAAATTATTGTAACCACATTTATATGTATATTGTAATACATAAACAATGACTTCCTTATATCCATATTCTGCAATGAGCACTCTGAGAAGTCATTCAACTCTGTAGCATAATTAAAGAGTGGTACCTTAATTTTGGATTACTGTGGACATACAATGAGGTGTCCATTCTATTCCTTGCTCTCACATTTCAATATACTGCTTCTAGATTGTATCTCCTTTTTTGTCTGGTAACGATAAGTAAGAATTAGTAAATAATCTGTGTTCTCTGCAATTTAAATGGCATGATAAGTGCAAGAAAAATCCTTTACTCCCAAGAGCTTAAAGCCAAAGCTTCCCATTCAGAGAACTCATTGACTTCATTTGCTTCTGGGATGCAGCAACAAATAATGTAGAGGAAAAATATAACTTTTTGGATGACACATCAATCCTGTTTGAGTCCCTTAAACAGCCAAAAGAAATGTTCCTAAACTCAAGAACTATGAAGTATACTAATTTTGAATTTTTGACTGCCATATTATAAAATAAGTCACTTTTAATCTGTTTTAGTCTACTTAGAAAGATGAGGGCAATATCACATACTTCAAGGCATGGCTGTGGAATATATGAAAATGTGGGTAAAAAATTTGTGGCTGAAGACTGCTAGGTGTCATTTTAAGGGTTGTGCCACAGAGAGCATCTGTCTGCATTGCCTATGCTGCACTTGGGGTTGGGGAATTTTGCGAAGGCGAGTCATTCCATTTAGCTTCTTCATGACTCATTGATCTAAGCTTTTAGACACTGCCTGAACTTCACATTTCTTAGAAGTGGTTAGAGCGAGTAGTAGACTGCTCACTAGGGAGAACTTGGAATGCCCCTAAAGCAATATTAATGATGGCATGCATTGGATATGTAGGGGAATTTGAAAGGTGAAAAATTATGGACCTATACCATATATTCCCTCCAATGCTTCCAATTTTGCTCTAGGGTGGATTTTCTCTAAAAATATGTTATCTGAGTGTCTGTTAAAAATTCCAATAGCAATAACTTGTCTGGCTGTGTCTGTGGGTTTTCAGCATCTCCGCCAAGTTTTATGGTGAAGATTCTGCAGAGCAGTAGAAATCTGAACTCTGGCATATACTCCACACTTACACTGCTCAGGGGCTCTAAATAATGAATTTTCTTCATCCAATATTCATTCCAGGTGCCCTTCCAACAGGAGTGAGCATGTTTGTTATAAAACAGAAAAAAGTAAAGATTTTGGAGACAGTTTATGTGTTTTACTTTAGCTTCCTCTGGAAGTGCAGCCTGAGAAGGGGTTTCAGGGTAGGTAGGTTGTCCGAGATATGATCTCAGGAAGCAGAAATCAGGGAGGGAGGGAGACAGAAGGACACTACAAAAAGAAAAAACAACATATGTATGTATTATTGCCTCAGCTGCTAAAGGCAATTGGGCTCAGTTCATCCAGAAGTTCTGAGATAAAAGAGAACACTTCCCAGAAATGGCCACATGAAAATCAGGAGGCTGAAACCATTATCCACTGATACTCAACTTGTATTGGTTGAAGGTCATTGTTAAGGTTATTAGCTTCAGGCTGTTCCTACACATGGGCCAAGCAAGTTCTGCAGGCATCTCTGAAAGCCCTGGAGCACAATGCACTAATTCAGACCATGCTTAGTGAGGTACAGCAAGGTGAGCCAGGCCTTTTATGCCACTGTCTACTGTACGTGAGGCTAAAAATGTGATAAGCCAACTGGCATCTAGTACAATCCAGCCCATCACCCTGTTCAGATTGTCTCATGTCTCTCACGGAGTCCGTTTTGTCCCTGCATTTCCAAGGTGGTAACTGGCTACAGTTTCTTTTAAAAAGCTTTATATAGGCAGGCTCAGTAGAATAATAAGTAATGGTCCTCCTTGCTGCAATTGGTATCAAGACTGTAACTGACATCTAGCACTTTCTTTTCAACCATCCCTCTGCATTTCTCTCCCTCACCCAGTTCTCCTGCAGAACTAAGTTGCTTGCCTGCTAGTATGTCTCAGATCTTCAAGCCTGAGGGATCTGTCCCGTTTACCTTGCCCTTTTAAAGCCATGGTTGCTACAATTGTCCATTCATAGCTTTCACTAGGGATAGAAGCACAAAGGAACAACACGGTGGATCCTGAAACTGTAGACGTACTCCCCACTTAGCTACTGATGGCAGTCAAAATAATGGTCAAAATACAACTCATTTTTGTGCAGAAATAAGGAGTCCAAAATAAACAATCAGAGCTTCAGTTTCAGGAGAAATGTCCTTTCCCTTGCCACCACTCTCTCTACTCCTGGCATAGATCTTTAATCCAGTGGACCTAAATCCTGTATTATATATATTCTGAAGATGTGTCACTGGCAGTGGTGGGGTGAGAGGTAATTCTCTTTGTGTCTTTGTTGAATGCAGACATCTAGTCATACCTATCCCAGGTCCCAAGGCACCATTATTTCCTCTAAGGGCCCTTACCTTTAGCAAAGGATGCCTCTCAGTTACTTATACATTCAGTCTTCATAGAACCTTCACCCTTGGAACGCAATCCTGGGCTACATTTTCAGCATATTTTGCCCTGTGGTTGCAGGTGATACTTGAGTGTTGCCATGGAGTCCTTCTGGCTATCAGAGAATGCCCTATGTTGATAGTTGAGAGGAATCAGGAAGCAGAGAAATTGAGACAAGAAAAGATGGAAAGCCAATATAAGAGTGCATTATGTAGAGTACTATTGCAGGCAGTAGCATCTCAATTCTTCCAGGACTGCTAAGAGTCATAGCGAATGCTCGCAGAATTACCCAATGAATCCCTTCCCCAGATAGAAGTGCTAAATTTTCTGTCATTCCAGGCTGTGCATGAGCACAGGCTGCAATGTGATCTGGCTAAGTTAGATGAGGTCTTGTGAGAGAATGGAAAAAGATGCAAGGTGCTCTATTAGGTGGGATACTGGCAGCACAAAGTAGGCTAAGCTTCATTGGAACTGTCCTCTATAATTAAAATTGAGATTGGAGGTATATAATCAATGTTATTGTAAAGAAAGCATGTAATGTGTGAGCTGTGATGCTCTTCACCCAACTTTAACCCTTCCACACCCCATGTGGGACACTCTCCTGCTAGCCACTCTGCTCAAACACCACCGTATCAATGAGGTATCTGTGGAGGTGCTCAGAGAGCAGCCAGAGACCCACAACATATTCTCCTATACCTTCCTGTACTGGCCTGCAGATAACACTGCTTGCGTTTAAAAAAAAAAAAAAAGACCTGATAATTGCAGATCTTATTGGAAACTTAGACTTCACAGAGTAGAGAGGGGACCCTCCTCCTGCACCACTCCTCACAGTGTATAGCTAAATCTGGATTCACAGAACTTGATATTCTTCTCCAAAGACAGGAGGCAAGGGGATGTGTTAAGCACTGGGCTTGGGGTATGACAGACCAGAGTTTAGATCCTGGCCCTTACTGACTTTCTTTGTCAAGTTAGTCAAAGTGTCCAATTTTTGACTGTCTTATTGTTAACAGGGGAATATCATCTCTCTTCACAGGCTAGTCAGAAGAATACTCTGCTGGTTTTATGTATTTCTATACAGTACATACAATATGCAATGTGCTTTATACGTTGCCTGGTTGCATAGGAAATGCTCTGAAAGTATCCCTGTGGACGGGAGCTTTTAGCCAGCTGGGACTATGCCATCTTCTCTATCTTCACAGAATGTACCTCTGCCACATATCCTTCACAGCCTCTGAATTGTCCTTGAATGTGCTTAGTGAGAGTTAATTAGTGCCCACGAACATTTGTGAACCAAATAGAGTTTTATGTAAGATGCTGCCAGATACCTTGAGAAAATACAGTGTCTTCTGCATTTCTCTTCATGTATCAGTCTAGGAACCCTGTTGAAAAAGAGTCATTTAAATCTTACATGCTTTGAAAGATTTGTATATCATGTATCTTACAATGAGAAGATGAGAAGAATCAGGAAGCAGAGAATCATGTATCTTACAATGAGAAGATACATGATATACTTTTTTAACTTTTCCCAGACATTTTGGCAAATTTCTTTCAACTTTTCCATATAATCTATAGTTAGTAGAATCAAAGATTTAGTGGCCATCTGTAATTTTTGGATATAAAGCTCATGCTATTTCAGATCTTCAAGAAGTCTGTCCAAGATAGGGTTGATATGCAAGAGATTTATTGGGGAAATGCCATGGAGCATAAGAGGTGGGGGAGGTGAGAGAAAAGAGCCTTTAGACTGTGATGCATGTGTTGTCTCTGTGAAAGGAGGAGAAAAAGGAAGGTGAGGGTAGGAAGGGCTTCAGACTACAGTGCATTTCTGAGATAGTCTCACCAAGCTGACAGTGTCACTGAAACACCAGTGGTTTGGTCTATGTCCTGCTGCTTGCATCACAGGAAGCCAATCACTGAGACAATGAGTGTTGCCAGAGGAGAAGGCTTTAATTGGGTGCTGCAGCTGAGGAGATGGGAGATCAGTCTCAAATCCATATCCCTGACCTAGTGAAATTGGGGTTTATATAGTAGAGAAGAAATGCAATCATATGTGGGAAAACAGGAATTAGGGAAAATAAGACAGAGTTGTTTAACAGGAAGCAGATGGTCGGTTAGGAAATCATGAAGGGTGAAGGGTCTGGTGTCTCATTGTCCTGGCCCAGGGTTCTGATAAGTCTCAGTAATTTGATACGATCTTGAGGACTGATGGTTGATTTCCTGAAAAAGGAACTTGAATAAGACAAATGTAATTTTCTCGTTTCAAGACTGAGAGGCTCAATTTCTATAGTTATTCAAAATAAAACATAAGTATCAGTTCTATGGGAACTCCTGTTTCAATAGGTGGTCCCCAAGCAGAAACTGCTGTTAGCAGTTCCAGGTGAGGCATGATGTGGCCTGGTCCGATAACCCTGCCATGCTCAGTCACTTATGGGAGCAGCAGGGGAAAGCAGACCTCAGCATGGGGACTTCAGGGGACTCAGAAGTGCAGCAGCTGGGAGCCCTTAGTCCTCCACAGGAGGGTTTCCTGCCAGAGACAGGAGTGGAGCACCTCCGTGGCTACAAACCTATCTCTCCATTTCAAAGCACCACCATTCCACTTTAAATCTTAAAGCATATATGATTTCTGGCTCCAATTCTATGACTAGCTTGGGGTACAAGTTGGCAAGGCCAGAATATGTGAAGTAATTAATTAATTAGTTAATTTTTTCTTGAGACAAAGTCTCACTCTGTCACCCAGGCTGGAGTGCAGTTTCGTGATCTCAGCCCACTGCAACCTCTGCCTGCTGGGTTCAAGCAATCTTCCTGCCTCAGCTTCCCCAGTAGCTGGGACTAGGGGTGTGCACCACCACAACAGGCTAATTTTTGTATTTTTTGAGTAGAGATGAGGTTTCACCATGTTGACTGGTCTCAAACTCCTGACCTCAAGTCATCTGCTCACCTCGGCCTCCCAAAGTGCTGGGATTACAGGCATGAGCCACCAAACTTGGCTGAATTCATTTAAAGCTAAGTGTGTAAACTTACACATATAGATACCTCGTAAAGCCTCTAATGCTCTCAGTAAGGTATAATCTGCAAGATAGTTTGGAGTCAGATGGGAAAAGACAGCTGTTCTGTTATTCAGCACTCATTATCTCTCCCATGCATGATATCTGGCTCAGCCCATTCAGTCCTGCCCTGTCCCAGATGTGTAGAATTTTAAATAGTTAGCTAAGTTTGGTTGTGCTGAATGTTGATCTTTTCTGAGTAGTTGATTGCAGATTTTTGCTGCATTATTGGGTGCTGGCATTTACCCAACTCCAGTCATTTCAGGCAATACCTTTGATGGATCCAGAGCTTTCTTTCTCATTCAGTGACTCCATCCTTCACTTTTCCACCTCCTGCACATTTCTTGTTAAGGGATGCTCATGTTCACTGCAGTTGGCAGGTTGAAAGCAGGGCTTCAGAATGCTCTTTTAACAGAAAGCTTTGTTTCTGTCCTGTGGTTTATCAAACAGCTTCACGGGCACTTTAATGAGTTTGCCAAGCTCATCTTTTGTCTCTACTGATGAGCATTAGGCTGCATTTTTTTTTCCCCTGGAGGGAGTCGTTTTCTGTCTACAGATCAATTTGGACTTGATGTTTAAAGCTAAGACTTCCTTCCATTTCTGAGTAGTTTTGTTGATATCAGTTTCTATACCCTGTCAGTTCCAATGCTATTTAGTATCTTTTCTAATTTAGCCTTAGGAGCATTGCAGAAAATATAAACAACCTGCCCCTGCTGGGACTTCTGACACCTCAGTGTTAGTCAGTTGCAATTTGTCTGTTCTGTTGATAACCAGGAGCCAGACAGGTTTTATCTTTTCAACATCCTACACCATGGCAAATTGAATGCCATGAGTTTTCTCTTCCAGGTAGAGTGAGATAGTTAACTAAGTCAGTTTTTGGTGTGGGGAAGACACAAATGTTTCTTGATTTTTTTCTCCCCGAAGAGATCTGAGAGTGGCAGGTTTGATCTGATAGGGGAAGCAAGTGCTCAGTATCTGAGAGTTGCTCTGAATAACTCTTCGCTGCTTCCCAAAAGATGAGGTACAGATATTGGAATATCATCTTAACATAGGCAGCAAAATTCTCATAGATCATGTCACTGGATAAAAATACCCATTCAGCTCTGAAACATTTACTTCCTCCTTTGACCATATCTTCCGAGAAAAAATAATTACTTGAGAAAATAAATGCTTTACAAACAGCAGTTCATTATTTATCAAATCACTTTTGTGACGTTAAAAAAAAAAGAAGCGTAAAGGTATAATTCAGACAAGGTCTGAAGTGGTGATTTGAAGCAATCATTGATGACTTTCTGTTTCCATGTTTTGATGATTCTACCTAATGTTGATTTTCATCTTTCTTTTTATATACTCTCATTTTAAATTAGGTACCAATTGTCTGGCATATGGAATCACAAAGAAGTGTGTCACTGACAAAAATACATGGCTAATAGGTCACACACTACTGAGTACCTTCCATTATATATACATTTTTCTTCTGCTGGCTTTTATTCCACTTACAAAGAGCTTTTTTTTTTTTCCTTTGGGTACATTTTTGTTTCATTCTATTGCATGTTCTGCCTGCTTTTCCTGGGGACAATGTCTGCTGTTTTATACCTTTGTTTCTTGCCTTCCTTCAGTGTGGTCACCTAGCACAGTACTATGTTTCAGGATGGGAGAAAATACAAAGGCATCGGCCTCCTCTCTTTGACCTTGAGGTCTGATATTAGAGGGAGCTTCTTGTGCTATGTCCCCACATGACAAAGAGAATGCTATGAATGCCTCAGAACCACTTTTGGCTCAATTCCATTAAGTGAAAATTTATGGAAAGTAGTTCCATAGAGTTACAGGGACACACTTTTTATGATTATTATTATTGATTGCAATCGGTTTCAGTCCCACTTTAAACCTGGTATCCAGGGTCCATGGTGGAGAAGAAGGTTCCTGTGACCTTGGACTCAACTATTTGTTTTCTTAAAGTGTGAGCTGCAGAAAGTCTGTTCTGACTATTTTATGTTCACTGAAGTGAATTTTATTTTCTTATGATAGTTTACTTCCTCAAGGTTTTAATTTTTAGCATTAATGTTCCTTAGATGACAGTCTTTATACACTACACTTTAAACTGGGAATAGGTTTTAAAGGCATATACCAAATTCTGACATCATGGGTGCTAGGACAAAGAGTTTCAGGGAAAGAATTTTCACACTGGGAGCTTTAATGAAAATGTTCCAGAAGAAAAAAGAAAATAATCAGAATAAATTATAAGTGTTTATTCTTTATTCTGTCTTGCAACTTGATATAGAGTACATTCTTTATATCGAAAACAAACATTGCAGTAATACTTTGGAGAAGGCAAGCATTCTATGAATGTAATCCCTTGCAATAGATTAAACACTGAATTGCAACAATCAGTAAATAATCGTTGATACCCTATAATATTCCCAAAGAGGAACACTAGTAAAACTACGTTTTCCTAATGGACGCTGCTGACAATACCTGTGTACCGGGGGCTGCTCAGGGCTGTGATTGCTGAGAGTGGAAGAACAGAGGTAGTAACAGCAGAGTAGGAAGTGCGTGTGGGATGAACGACTTGTCTCTATCTAACAGCCCCTTTGGGAGAAGTCAACAGAGTTGACGCATAGACAAGTTGGTCCCTGAACTTGGAGACGTGTCTCAGTATGGACAGTCCTGGAGGGGTACTGGTGGAAAAGGGAATCATGGCTGGGCTGGTGAGGTTCTCAAAGGAGACAAAATGGGGAAAATTAGCTCTCCCGGCTCCATTGTCTATGCTGGTGATATGCTTGGAACCTGAGACCCTACTGTGATTCTAGGAGGAACTCCGCTCACTTCACAGGATTCCTTATGTGACTTCCTTTGCAGCTGGACCTGGATAAAAGGCGATAGGTGTGACTCTAACAAGATAAAGAGGGAGCTTTATACCCTAAAGGTGCTGTCTCTCTATCTACTCCCACATAATGTACCTGGGCTGAGTCTCTGCATTACTGACTGTGAGGCAGAGATTCTGCTCTTGCTATTCTCAGTTGTCAGTGGAACACGTAAGAGAACACTACAAAATTTCACACTGGCAAAGAAAAGCAGGGATGGGCAGTGGTGCAGAGAAATGATTGTGACCCCGAAAATTAAGGAAAGACCACTCTTTTCCCAACCTTGTGACCTTGAATGAGTCTTTGAATGCAGGTATGAGAAGTTCGAAAGGTGCTCTAGGAAATACTAAATATAAGATAAAACGTTCTCCAGAAACTTGCAAAAATTCAACAACAAGAAATGCAAAAGTGAATTTTATTTTAATGTGAGGATTCTTCAGCTATCCTTTTCATATTATTGAACTCAGATACCAGGCACTGTGATGACCCTGGGGGACAGAGGGATCGGGAAGTCATGGTCCCATCCTCTTAGGAGTGAAGAGTTCATTAGAGAAGGGACATAGAAACAAATCAACATCCTTTGGGTATTTCATGCTGTAAGAGAGGTAGAGAATTAGGGAACTCAGTAAGAGAGGCGTTGCTTTCTCTTGAGGACCAGGTAAGAGTATCTGGAAGAAGAGGTTTTTGTTTAATCACCAAAGACTTTACTTTTTAACCAGTTGTACTGATGTTGATGTTATAGTGACATATAGCCAGAATAAAAGGCTTTATGTTTTTAGTGAAGATTTAGTTCCAGGAAAAGTCAAGCATTTTGAAAAGGATTTTTGAAGAAACAGTTACACAAGCTAAAGAACTTCAGAAATTATGGAGTTTGATGGTCATATTGAGTGATCAGTAAAAGGCTTAAAAATTCTCAGGAAGATAAAGCCTAGGAAATTTTAGGTCTTTAATTATAGATCATCTCCTTAGATTTTACTCTAACCCTATAGGAAATATTCAGCTTAATGAAAAATAATTAAATTATTATCCCTATGACCACACAACAGTTTCATTCACATCATGTTATAAATTCTGATTAACATTTGTATGATTTAAAAAGAGAGAGGGAGTAAGAAGAAGCAGAAATTGTCTATCATATTATAATTAAA